TCCCTACACACCCACTCCCTCACCTCCCGTGGCGTGCACACCCATACAGATACGTGCCCTCCCTGTATGCATAAGGCTCTATTTGACATAGATAGTGAGCAGACGTTCTTTCTTCTCCCCTACCTGATCATAAACAAGATCTGTTTGCAACACCTCTCAAGTTCACAAAATACTGCTCCCTCTTTTCCCCTGCGCCCAGCCGAGGACGGCAGGTAATAGGATTCAATGTTGTCGCCATAGCGACTCTGGCTCCGCACTATTTATAGCAGAGCCACAGTCCCTCCCCTGCTTGGTGACCGCTCAGTGCTAGCAGCTGCTACTCCAGAGTCGACCAGAGCCCACAAGAATTCACTCTCCTTGAACCTGGAGGCACCTCTTCCACGGACAGTACCTGCTAGGAACTGGGTAATCTCTCCCAACTGTCTTTAGTTTGTACTCTGTGCCAGTTCTGGCTTCTGGCAGAGGTATCACCACACCAACGGTTCCCGAGCATACGCATTCACAAGTTTGTACTCTGTGCCAGTTCTGGCTTCTGGTAGAGATATCACCACATCAACGGTTCCCGAACATACGCATTCACGCCTAGGCATCACCTCTGCTTAATGAACCCAAAGAGTCTTTCTGACCCTCCCGTTGCAGAGCTCTTCCTAAACAAAGTGGAAAGGAGAAAGAAATGAAATGGATACAAGTGAAAGCATAATTCATCCTATATAAAGAATTATGCAGAGGGACTAGCAGATGATGTAAAGGTTATGTTGCTGGACTCCCACATAGTTGACTGTGGTTTGACTCCCAGACCCGGTGTCTTAAAACTCACACCAGGAGAAGGATCAGTAGCTGGCGTAATGGCTATGTCGCTGGACTCCCACATAGTCGACCGTGGTCAGAGTCCTGGACCTGGTGGCTTAAACTCACACCAGGCGAGTGTGCCCCAAGATCCCGAGAGGAGAATGGAGAAGGGACTGCAGTGTGGTCATCTTCCCCAGGGGGTGATTTCTCGCTTTCTGTCTCTCTGTCTCTTTCTGGCAAGTGTATGCACCCTATAGCAAAAACCTCTCCAAAAAGAAAAAAAAAAAAAAAACTCATGCCAGGTGCTTGTGTATGCATGAAAGAATGGAAGAGAAGGGATTGCGGCATGGCGACTTCCCCTGGGGGGTGATTTCTCACTTTCTGTCTCTCTATCTCTCTGTCCCACTGTGCCATATAGCAAAGCTCTCTCTAAAAAAAAGAAAAGAACTCTGCGGAAATGTCTAGAGGAGGAGATAAAGTATCTTAAAGGAAACAGAATTTGCATGCCCAGAGCTCTCACCTAAGCCTTGAAATCTATGTTTACATTGAAAACCAAACAAAATCTCAAAGATTGGGTCTGAAGCATCTCCTACTAATGATTAGGCCCCTCCAGCCATATGTGATCACAGTCCCTCTCCACTGAGAACTATTGGATGAGACTCAGGTCACTGCTACGCTCTTGTCCTCAGCGCCTTGCAGAGTCACAAGGGCCTTGAGCTCTTACGGCTATTTTAGCTATGAGTGGAAGGACTTCTAGCCACGACTCACATCTCATTGGCTGTCACTGCCTTAGATGCAGAGATAATCAAGGCTTTTCTGCCTCTTCCCTTCTCTCCCCACTGTTTCGCAATCTCCTGACACCATCTACAACTCACACCCTCTTTATAACCAACCAGGTTCAGACTCCAACTCTTGCCTCAACCATATATACTAGCAGAGAGTCCCTGATCCCTATCTCCGTACATTTCAAAGGCATGAAGCTCAAAACAGCATACCGAGCTGCTGAAGTCCTGCATCACGGTCCACTCCATTCAGTCGCAGGTTTGGCATCCACAGACCTTTACTAGTTATCTATGCCTTTTCGGCCCACAATGGCCATGCTAAGCAACCCTCTGGACTCGTCTCTCATTTTGGACAGGATTTCATAGTAAAACCACAGGAACTGGCAGCTCTGCTGACGCGTGCACCCGGAGGCTCTCCTCCCCCTCCCCAGGCAGTGACCTTGCAAGCTCATCAGCAGAGACTGGTCCAGGATGGGGGAGAACTGGACACGGAGGCAGCCAATAGGCAGGACTGGGAAGAGTGGAGGGCAGAAACCAAGGAAGAATGTACAGATGCACGAGAATGGGGAGGGGAGCAGGTGCAGGACAATGAAATAGTGTCTTCACTCAGCAGCAAGTCACTTTTTAATTTAATGCTAAACATTAAATTTAAAAAAATTGTTTTTGAAGAACCGAATGTGGTTATTCAAATCCTAACCAAAAATAAAGTGGGAGCTCTCGCGCGCACATACACACACGCGCGCACGCGCACACACGCGAACACATACACACACACACACACACACACACACACACACACACGACAGGTGCTGTGCAGACTCGGGGCCCCAGGCTGGACAGCTCTGCCCGCCCTCTTACCTGCTGGACAGTTCTCCCCCCGCGCTCGCCCCGGAACCAGCGCCACCCGCCGGGCAGGACAGGAGCCGGGCAGCCTCAAGCCGCGCCGGGCCGCAGCCTGCACTCCACGCCCCCCACACAGAGTAGGGCCCTCTTCGGAGACCCTCTCCCCCTAGAGCCCTTCTTCCCTCTCAGAGCCCCAGGCTCGCCCTAGGGGTGCCCAGACTCCCCTACCTCCCGACTCTCGGGGACCGGCCAGGCCCGACCCGACGTCCCCCCGGCAGCGGAGCGGCAGTCGGTCCCCGGCGCAGAGCCGGCCGGAGCAGGCGCCAGTTCCGCGTCTGCACCGGGGGGCGCGTACCACTCGAACGGCGTGCGGGAGGGGTAGGCTGAGGGGGGCAGGGGCCGTACCATTCACCCCGAGGGGACAGGGCTGCACCAAGCCGAGCGCCGAAGGGTGGAGCGCACCTCGGGAGAGAGGCGGCGACGCACGCACCTCTCCGAGTGGGAGTGGGAAGGGATGGAGCGCGCTGGGCCAGCTCAGCTCCGGCGCCTGCTAGGGGAGGACCCAGAGGAATCCCTTTTGTTCAGGTCTTTTGTACAGACTTTAATTCGACGTGGTCATAGGAGCCCTTTTGGATGAAATGTGGATTAACCTGAAAGCGACTTTCGATAAACCGCCTCGGAGACGTTTGGTCCGCCTCCTCACACCTCGCCTCCTTCCCCCCGCACGCGGCTTGGACGCGCCCGGCCGCCCGGGCTGAAAAGCGGCTGCCCCGGAGGTGGGACCTACCAAGTGTGGGACGGCGGGGGGACCTCTACGGGGTGCGCACCCGGGGAAGGGGGCGTGGACGGCGCCGCAGTGCCCGCTGGGAAACGCAGTCCCGTCCTTTTGAGAGGCCAAGCTGGGCGCAGGGCGGCCCTGGCCTCGGGGAACTCTAACGCCCCCCTACACACACCCTCCCACCCCCGGCGGAGGGAGGCATGACAGTCCTGGGTCTTTCAAGCGGTGGCCTCTTATTCCGATGCCCATGGGGAAATTACAGCAGTACACACGGGCACGTGTTAGATGTGAGCATCCCACACCTGCCTCGGGGAGCAAGAACCGCTCCCCCTTGGGAGCCATTAAAGGGGAAGGGACGTCTGAGCCTAGGCATTCCCTTCACCCACACAGCGCTGGGGGACTAGTTAAGATAGGCCCCCCTCTCATTGCTAGGGCTGTCACTTGTGACTTATCTCCCTCCTCTCGAGTCTGGAGGCGGGTCCGAAAGGTCGCCGCGGGCTTCCTCTTGCGGCCGAGCCCCCACCCCCAAACCGGAAATTGGTTTCTCTTAGTCTGTATTCGTTTGGGTTTTCCTGTTCGAGCAGTGCCAGGCCTATCCGTGAGGCAGCCCAGGCATTTATAGCCAAGCCACAGAGTGACAGGGGAAAATTTCTCGTGGGGCTTTGTGGGGAAAACAGGAAGTGGCCAGGCAGAATGGTCAGGGTCATGGAGAGCCTCGTGCAAAGTGGCCCTCAGGTCCGTCCTTTAGTTGGGTCTTCAGGTAGGTCTTTAGGTGAAGCATGGCTCTAGCAGGACCCCCTTCTGCCCAGCAGCCACAAAACTCCTAACCCTTTGACTCCTTTAATGCCATGTGAGGACCTCCTTCACCCAGCTCTGAGGACTCTTTGCCCTTCTCAGTCTGTTCCACCTCCAGGAGGCAGCCATCAGGCCTCGGCACTCTGGCCACGAAACAGAAGCTATGGGAGAGGAACAGTCATTCGTGCACATCCCAGATCTCGGAGAGCAGCGGGGGAAGCTTTTTGTCCTGCAGGCGCAGTGCAAACACTTGCTCTGAGTGGACGCTGCTCAGTGTCCGGAGGCTCACCAGCTTCATCAGCATCCGTGGGAACATCAGTCTGTCCTGGGGAAAGGCAAGGGACAAGGACAAGGGAGTTGCAGGCGAACTAGAGAACTGTATACCATGTGGTCAGAGAGGGATTCTTGAAGGGAAAGTAGGTGTGTTGGGGAATAGGCCTGTGAGGGGTGGGAAAAAAAGGAGACTCGCCTGGGGGTGGTGGATGGAGACGTAGGCATGCAGGGCCTCCACATAGGTGTGTTGCAGCCTCTCTACCTGGAGCTGGTCCTGCACATTGGGCCGGTCTAAAGGTCACCAACAGAGTTGAGGAGCAGGCCTGGCCAGGGTCTTCGTTGCATACCCCAAATAAAAAATAGGGACATACCCCACCCACCCTCTTCCATCCCAAAATAACACAGCAAGGCTTCCACCCCCGGGATTCCTGCCCTGTGGGGCCTGTAGCCCTCCAGTCCAGGGCTCTTGCTCAATTTCCCTCTGGCCCCTCCTACGCACCTGCAGAGAAGATGCTGATGGCAATGAGCAAAGCAAACTCGGCATCGTTGAGTTGCAGCTCATTCATAGATCTGGAGAACTCAAAGATGGGGTTGATGAACTCCACCTGCAGCCCTGGAGAGGAAAAACTGAGGCTGAGGCATAGGGCAGGAGCAGCAGGAACATCCCTTCTGCAGTTCCACAACTTAAGATACTAGGGGCCAGGGGAACCAGCAGTTAGCGTAATGGCTATGTCGCTGGACTCCCATGTAGTCGACCGCGGTTCGTGTCCCGGACCCGGTGGCTTAAAACTCACGCCGGGCGCGTGTGCGTGCGTGCCCAAGATCCCGAGAGGAGAATGGAGGAGAAGGGATTGCGGCGTGACCATCCCCCCTGG